GTTGAAATAATATATAAATAAATGTGGGAAGATTGATTGTTTTCATGACTGAGATATCATGATTGAGTTTTTGTATTCTTAGAAAATAAAAGTCAGTGAATAATTATTGAACACAATGGGCCCAAACGTGTAAAAGTTTAGGACTTCACCCCCCCCCCCCCCCGCCTCTCATAAACGGTCATGCTTTTGACAAAAATGCGACATTCTGAGGATCCTCAAGGACAGGGCCGGCATCACACCCAATGACATTAGTCAAGAAGGTGAGGATATCGCCTTTTAATTTTTTTAAATATAAAAAACAACCTCTTGACAAAGTGCACCAATGAAATCACTTCATAGCAGCATGACTGCAAGTTAACGTTAAAATGTCTTAATGCAGTGATATTAGTTCAAAAAATTCAAATGGTTATTCAGGTAAGTTGCAGTTGACATTAATGCCTTTTAAGAACTAATGCCTAATATCTTACCAAAACTTCTCATCAAGAACTGGGCGTAGAAAATACCAGGAGAAATTCACAGAACAAGTACGTACCACTGTTACTTCTGCAATTAAACTTATGAATGAGAACTGGGAAAATTAGTAAATGATTTTTGTTGTATTGAAATATTTTAAATGTTAGATCATGATTTTTTTTATCAAACGCAATTATAAAAAGTAACAAATTATCAGTGCTTAGTATCAAAAGTACAAAGAGCAATAAATTTAAAAAGAATTGGTGTGAAAGTACCAAGGAATAGCAGCCCTGCTTTCAATTATACTTATCAATAATGCTGAAAATATTTTGAATATCCATCCTATTTTTTAAAGTAGAGGTCAATTTGGTTAAATGCTAAGAAATCTTGGTTTTTCTTTAAGATTATATTTCCTTATAAAATTACCATGTTTCCAACATCACATTATCCTGGAGATAACCACACTTTTTGAGTTAAAATATTGGCGTCCCTCAGGTAAACTGGCCAAAAGATATCTTATACTAATCAACCGCAGTTGGCATTTATGATAGTATGAGTGAGTTATGTCAAAGTTAGGCATGCTACAGGAAAAAAAAACAAAAAAAATATTTAGAAGAACACCCCTACAAGTTTATATAATAAATTTGATGTCAAGTTTGTCTTGAGGTTGGTTCTATACATTACATTTGACAAATACTGTACATTGCATTTTGAATGCTTGTTTGGCACCCTGAAGCAACCATAACACAAACATGATACAAACTGTACTACAATGTACTCAGTGTAACATATGCTATATTTTTTAATAACAATTCTTTCAGGAGCATGTTTGTGGGTTCTCAGGTGCATGTTTATATGGGTAATCAGAGTTATATAAGAGGATTTGTCACAGAATATTCGGTACTTTTTCTTTTTATAGTGGGCCATAAAATGTTGCATGTTCATTTTAAATATGAAACATTTAAAGAATTAAGAGATCAGGATTTCCAGCTTTATTTATTTATTAATTAATTAACTGATTTCACATCAAAATAATCTATCATACATGATAGATTTCTACACTGCCATCATAAGTAATCACTAAATAGAAGCTAGGCAAAACTACCAACTCCCATTCCATAATTGTTAGGCAAATGCTCCATAGTCTCAGATAAAACTAGTTTCATCCTTAATGAAATAGTTATACCAAACTGAAGATCTATCTAAAGTTAATGGTCACTAATCCATATCTTTGAAGAGAAAACTGCTTCATATAAGTGTAAAATTAAAATCTGCTGAAATAAAGTCTTGCTTGGCAAAGCTTACAGGTGACGAAACAAAGAATGCTAAATTTCCTTTACAATTTATATCTTGCTTAGAAAGTACAGTACAGTATATCCTAAAGCAGACCTTTTAGACAATGCAGAAAGAAAATTTTTCCATAACTTCATAATCAAAGGCATTGTGCACGATTACAGATAGACTGATTGGTATAACCCATTGTGCTGATCAGATCATGGGGAACTACCTAAATTACAAAATACTCGTCAGTATCTCTGTAATCACTCAATACTGTATTTAGAAATAAATATTTGCTAAAATTCTTAAGATCATTGGAGGTCAATATTGTTAAAATTTGAGAAATACCTAGTCAGAGGCTGGGCTATAGGATGTTGATTCTTGGAATCATTGACACGTATACAACAAGTGTGCCAAGTGATGAGTAAGAATAAATAATGATCATTACAACATGAATGAGTTCCTTAAGAATGAGCAAGTATTGTGCCCTTTACACTCTTCACCTACACCAAGAAACAGTTCCTTGCCCTGTAATATATAAATAGACACTTGTGCCCAATTAAAATGATTGAATATAAAATTGTAACACTGATGATTCATGTAAATAGTGCTGAAGACACACAAAACATATTTTCTCTACTCAGACACTCTCATGAGTTGACTGCAACACTCCTATGTAAGTCTAGTCATACATTCAGCATCAAACAGTACAAAACTGATGCCCCGAACGCAATTATAAAAAATACGAGCTAATTTTTTTAAAATTTGAGTTAAAACTAACGTAGATATATGACCGAACCTAACCAACCCTACCTAACCTAACCTATCTTAACCTAACCTAAACTAACACAATTTAGTCAATCATTTATGTTCTTAATATAATATAATAATAATAATTCAAATAAACTAATTGGAAAAAATTTATTGACAATAAAGAAAATCACTCGGCCTATTAGGCAAATTAGGCCTTGCATAGTAGGCCGAGTAAAATACCTTGTAAAGACTGTAATAGGTTCTATGTTGGGCAAACATCTAAAGATTTGAAATGTAGAATTTCACAACATAAATACTCTGTAAGACACAGCCAATTGTCTAATGCTTTGTTTGTTCATTTGCCAGAAAATTCTCACCAAATTGATTGGAAGATGGCTTCTTCAATAAAGAATTGTAAATTCACTTTCAATAGGAACATAATTGAATCTGCTTTACTTCAGGTTACAAAATCATGTAAAATAAATATATATATATATATATATATATATATATATATATATATATATATATATATATATATATATATATATATATATATATATATATATATATATATATATGTGTATATATATATATATATATATATATATATATATATATATATATATATATATATATATATATATATATATCCAAAGTTCATTTTTACTTATTATTTGGGTCTGACGCCTAGTGATGCATTTCGTAAGGTCTCACCTCACATTCTCAAAGACAAATTCTTCTGTGTAGCACCTGATTATATCCTCTAATGGTGAGGTGGTAGGTGACATGGAGGAATGACATACATGGGGAATTAATGGAGAATTAATGGGGTATTAATGGGGTAGTAAATTAAGAGTGTGACATGTTGGCAGTATATGTTCTGGATGCTTCCGTTCCTGTTGCCGGGTCGTTTGGTCCAGCTTCTGCATTGGTCCGGGGTCTTGAAGTGACTAGAATGTACCTGTGTATTAGCTGGCTATTGATTGCTGGTCTAGATTTCTTGATATGCAGTGCTTCACTGATGTCTAATCTTCTATTATCATTGTATCTATCAATTATTTAGGTGTTGTTCATCAAAATATCCCTGGTGATCATCTCATTGTGTTTGGCAATTATATGTTCCTTGATGGAGCCCTGTTGTTTGTGCACTGTTAAACACCTAGAGAGAGAGAGACGTTGTTGTCTTGTCTATATACTGAGTTCGCTGGGGCTGACAATCCCCAAGTGGGCACGTGAAGGCGTAAGCAACATTGGTCTCTTTCAAGGCGTTTTTCTTCGTATCGCAATTTTCTTGGTATTTTCTTGGTATGCTTATGAAGAATTTTCCCGTACCAAGAAAAACTTCAGTAATTTCAAAGCATTATATAACAAAGAGTGTTGGGAAGACGAGACACCATGAGCGTAGCTCTCATCCAGTAACTACACTTAGGTAATTACACACACACACACACACACAACTGACGGCTGAGTGGACAGCACTCAGGATTCGTAGTCCTTGGGTCCCGGGATTTACCCCTGGCGATGGCAGAAACAAATGGGCAGAGTTTCTTTCACCTTGATGCACCTGTTCACCAAGTAGTAAATAGGTACCTGGGAGTTAGACAGCTGCTACGGGCTGCTTCCTGGGTGTGTGTGAAAAAATCTGTTGATTGATTGACAGTAGAGAGGCAGACCCAAAGAGCCAGAGCTCAACCCCCTGCAATCATAACTAGGTGAGTACACACCACGCACACGCACACGCACACACACACACACACGCACACGCACACGCACACACACACACACACACACACACACACACACACACACACACACACACACACACACTACAAAGCTCTTAAGAAAAGACCCAAAGTAACATTACTGTACTTATAACTTTCTTCGCATGGTTGCTAAAATAAGAGAGACAGCTATTTGAATGTGTATCTTCTGCAAACCAGTGAAGCTCAGTAAGGTGTTACTCCTTATTATTACGCTGTCTAGTAAGGGTCCTTTCCAGTCTCCAGTCTCTCCTCGTAACTCTTTTTTTTCAGTTCTGGAAGCCATTTTGTAGTATGCCATTGCACCTTTTCCAGTTTATTTATGTGCTTCTTGAGACTTGGGCACCATACAACTGCTGTATATTCCACTTTTGGTCTCACAAAAGTCATGGACAGTTTCTTTAGTATTTCACCATCCATATAATTAAAAGCAAGTCTGAAGTTGGAAAGCGACGCATAATCTCCTCTCACAATGTTCTTTATGTGTTCCTCTGGCGATAGCTTACAATCCAAAACCACCCCTAGGTCTTGTTCTGCATTAGTTCTTTGTGTGTATGTGTGTGTGCGTGTGTTTGTCGAGAAATTATCAATTCCGAAGATGTATAATACTGTATTTTTAACAGCTGACAATCTTCTGTTCTAACAAATGCTATTATGTATTAACTACAGAGTATTTAGGTAGAAAGACTGGTAACATTTTCAATACAAAAAATAAATCATTTTAATAATAAAGTGGATGGAAATAGCTACGCGTACAATACTTTAATTTTATTCTCACTAAACTTTACTACTTACAATGTAGGAATATTATGTACATTTTAAAAGTAACTTAAATGAGTATGTAATGCTTAAATACTTGGCTCACATGCCAATATGAAGATCATGTGACTGTGACTAGATCACCAAAAATAGGCCTCCGATAATTTTCTTTGCATTTGATGAAAACTACATTCAACTGTAACAATATTATGAACATAAACAATATAATCATGCTAAAAAAAATTGAGGCTTTTAAGCATTGATGCATTGCTATGAAGATCAATCTAAACAAGGTAAAACTATTTCAAGAGTTGGGTAAACATGTATGCTGTGCATCAAGGCCAAAAAGAACACTCTTGATGTTGAAACAATTACAAGTTTCCAGTTTAAGGCAAACAGGCAGGGAGTGGAATGAATGCTCTTCGGAGTGAGATGAACACTTGTACTAAGTAATTTCCAGGTTTCACAGAAAACACTTGAGTAATATTTTCTTTTTGTCATTAGACTTTGGGATATACTTAATTTTGGTCAATAAATTCTATAAAATATATAAAAGTCATTCATATTCACTTAGTTTAATAGCATAATAAATAAAGTTATATTTTTCATATGGTTAAGATTTGTATGCTATAGCTTTTGCTTCCTTGCACTTTATTAACAGCTTACAGCCCTATCAAGCTGTAACTTTGGCTTTCATACATATATATACATGTATTTGACTGACGTACGTTTATACATACACTTGTTACATCTTTGGTGTAGAATGTACCACTGGCTATATCAAATTTACTTTTTAAATACAAATAAAATAAATCTAGTTTTTGCATGTTTGTACATTTAACACATTTTAAGATGTAGTTAATGAAGGAATTTTTGTAAATGTCAATACAGTATGTCAAGAGCCAGCATATGATTCTACTTTTATTTGATTATTGCATAAAATGTACTTTCTCAAGCTTTGATTTTAAGTTTTATTGCTCTAAAATCTTGATAAATAAATTGCTTATACCATTCTCGAAATGTACACAAGCTTAATATACATGGCAGTTTTATGCATCAAATATATTTTAATTATTCATGACCATGTTTGTCATTGTTCTAAGAAGGACCGAGTTATTTTTGCAATCTGTATTTACTGTTGTACATAAATTTTTCGATAATTTTGTTATCCTACTTAGTTGTTGAAAATAAATATTGATAAAAGGAAACATTATATCTTAAGTATTATTGCTGCATTTTAAGATGTGCAAGTATACAGCCCTAAGCAATGGCTGTTTTATTTGTTTAATCTTGCATCATTAAGATTGAGTTCAGATAAATGCAAACCTTATATTTTTAATGATTCTGTAAAAAAGTGAGACTACTGTACTACAATAACAATATAATATGCATTATGCCCTTAAATTGCCAATCTGCTAATTGTGTAGTGTCATATAACCAGAGTAATATTGATAGCAAAATGATTTAGGCAATGATTTCATAATTTGTCCTACATCATAGATCATATAACTACAGTTAATGTAATTTCTTAACTTTACAAATTTAGATACAGTATTCAAATATAATAAATATTTAGCCCTAATGCTATGTTGCACCACACAATAGCTACAATGATTGACAATTTTACAGCTTCTGACTTTTAATGTAAAGCTTTAATAACTTTACACTAATTGATCTATAAGACACTGAGAACCCAGTTTATTTTTGTAACTGTTTTACTATTAATAATGATCATGGTGAAGAGTAGCTAAGAGTATTATAAGATATACATGAGAACATAACTCCCTGGAACAGGCAGCATGCTACTGAAAATTTTCTGCAAATAAAATATAATTTTAACCACAGTATTATACAACATACATTTTCAGTGATTTTTTGACTTCTCAAAGTACAATATACAGTTTTAAATACAATATTACTTTTATGTTTTCTTTTAATGGTGAAGAACACGAGCAAAGGCAACTGTGAAAAAAGTAGCAATGAGTGTAGCCAGTCCAGTAACCATTGGCACTGTAGAGCCAGACACAGTAACATCACGATTCATCATCAGAACACTATCAATGACATGAACCACTCCATTTACACATTCAACATCTGGGCGGATCACTCGAGCCTTGATACCATTCCACTCAACGTAATATTCTGTAATACAAAAAAAAAGCAATGAATGTAATGAAATGCCAATTTTTGGGTGAGCTCTGGTGGCTCCCTGAAGCTAGTATTACTGATACTGTACCACTACTAGGTCACATCAGCTGCGGATTTCTATCGATCTCCTGGGGGCCTTGCTACGCCTCCTAGGGCCAAGTTGAGGAATATCCTAGATCACTGCAACTTAGAAAACCTAACACACAGGATGAGCTCTGACTGATAAGGCCTCTCCCATGCACTCTGCACCAGGCCTAGATTCTTGGAATTTTATATTCATCAAAAATTGGAAAAAGCACTTAAACAAGCCCTAAACATCTTTGGAGATGAAGCCTAGATACTGGTATTATCTCTGAAATAATTAAAATAGCAGAAATTGTGCCATTTCACAAAGAAGGTAGTAGAGCTGATGCCAAAAATTATAGACCAATAGCTCTAACATCACACATCACAAAAATTTTTGAAAGTGATAAGAAATAAGATCACAAAACACATGAAATCACAATGTCTACATAACCCTGGGCAACTTGGGTTCAGAACATGGCAATCCTGTCTCTCTCAGTTACTAGACCACGATGACATGGCCTTGGATGCTATGGAAGACAAACAAAATGCTTATGTAATATACACAGTTTTGCAAAATCTTTCGACAAATGTGACCATGGTGTTTTACACACAAAATGAGTGCAAAAGGAATTACTGGCAAAGTATGGAGATGGATCTTGAACTTCCTAATATACAAAACCCAGAGCATAATAGTCAGCAAAGTAAATTCTGAATCATCCACCATGAAAAGCTCAGTCCCCCACGGTACCATACTTACTCTGGTATTTTTTCTTCCTCATATCTCATGTAATTCAAGGATACAATTTGTGGTACTGTATGATCCTTTGCAGATGACATTAGAATTTTCATGAGAGTAGACAATATAGAGCGGCGGTCACCAACCTTTTGGAGCTCACAGATCACTAAATTCATAATTTTAAATTCTGCAGACTACTAATATGAATTTTGCGGTCCACCAAACAAGAAATGATGCCATTAAATGTAACAGTTAAAGAAAACACACAGTTATATACAATGCACAAATAAAATTGTCTCACGAGTAATTGGGGGTCCACAGACCACTGATTGGTGACTCTTGATATAGAGGACACAGCAAACCTTCAATCTAATGTTAATCAAGTCTTTCAATGGGCCACGGAAAATAACATGATGTTTAATGATGATAAGTCCCAATTACTATGCTATGGAAAAATGAAAGCATCAAAGCAGAAACCACATAAAATGCAGTTAAACCACACTACTGAAAGAAAAAATAACTTAAAAGATTTAGGAGTAATCATGTCGGAAGACCCTACTTCAAAGAACACAACAAAGTTGCTGTCAAAAATCCAAGAAAAATGACAGGTTGGATAACAAGAACCTTCCAAACAAAAGATGCCATACTAATGATAATACTTTTTAAGAAAGTAGTGCTCTCTAGAGCGAAAGATTGTTGCACACTAATAGCCCCATTCAAAGCTGGAGAAATTGCTGATCTGGAGAACATGCAAAGATCCTTTACTGCTGAATCCTTTTGAAAAAACATTAAATTATTGGGACTTCCTAAAAATGTTAATTCTGTATTCCCTAGAGTGCAGGGAGGAGAGATACACAATAATTTACACTTAGAAAATATTAGGAGGACTGGTTCCAAATATGACTACATAAATAAGACCACATGAGACCAAAAGACATGGCAGGATTGTGCAAAATAGCCCCCTAAAGAGCAGAGGTGCAATAGGCATAATGAGAGAGAACTTGATCAACATCAAAGACCCAAGATTTTTTAACACCCCCCTACACATACGGGAAATAACCGGCTGACCTCTCGCAGTGTTCGAAAAAGAATTGACAAGCACCTTCAAAGGATACCTGATCAACCAGGCTGTGACTCATACATCAAGCTGCAAGCAGCCACATCAAACAGCCTGGCTGATTAGACCAGCAACCAGGAGGCCTGATCAGAGACTGGGCCATGGGGACATTGAACCCTGGAATCCTCAACAGGTAGTCCTTCCAGTTTGGCTTCATCACCTTGATTCTTCCAGGCTGAAGATGTTTTCCAGCAGGGTGGTCCTTCTGACTCCTTGGTGGCCAACTCAGCCATGGTTTCCAGCTTTTTGGCCTCAGTAACTGAACCCATGCTTTTATCAACACACTCACACCAAATCAAGACTTATTTTATGATTAAGTCTTATTGAAAGACCTCAATAAGACTTATTATATACTGTGTAATTTACAAGGAAAAATATTAAATAGGTGCACGGGAACTATATTGCCAGCAAAAGTAAATTCAGGTAAAATATAAAATCACTGATCAGTGAACATACTATGTTATTAAAATCTCTTATAGTACAGAATTCAGACTTAACTTTAGATGAACTACATTTAAATAATATTCATGAATACTTACCACTGTCTGGATGTTTGAAGGAAAAAGAAAAAAAATTATTAAATCTTCAGTTAAGAAAACTCTAATTTATACACATCTATTAGTATATAGTGTACTGTATTGTAATAGGGAAATAACATTTAAGTACCAAATACTATATCCACATATTTTTAATTCAATAATGTTTTTAATAAATCTTAGAGTAAGCAATTTTCTGAGTCCTGGTAAGCCACTGTGTGTAATTCTTAACATATAAGAAAAAAAAAGAGTAAACAAAAATCAGACATACATAAATTCATACACAATACCCACTTGATTTAAGGACCTCTGAGTTACCATTCTGCCAGTTCTAACGACCGAATTTTAGATCTGTAACTGATGCCTTATTTACCTAGACTGTCAAATCCAGATTGTGGTATTGAGTTTCCCGAGTCTGGTGCTCGTTAAACTGGAAGCCACTAATGGGTTTGTTGTGACAACCTTGTGACAACCTAGGCCAGCAGTTACATTTTCCCTTCACAGATTTCACTGTCTCTGTTATGTAGCATCGAGTCAGAGCCAGTCACAGTCACAACCAGTCAGAGGCAGTCAGTTAGGCATTCAGTCACAAGTCACAAACAGTCAGTCATAACCAATCAAGGGCAGTCAGGCATTCACAGTTGATGTAGCAACCAGTCACAATTTGTAAACAACATGAGTCTGATGTCAGGCACTCGGACAGTCTGCCTCCGAGGCCACAAACTGGTACGAAGGTAGATGAGAATCAAAACTGTACCATGTTAATCCTAACCTAACCATCAAGACATGGGCTGAGGGGTGGGGGAAAATATGTCACCTACAATTTTTTTTTCCCCCCGTGCTCAGGGAACACAAATTAACATTTTTAGAAGATGAAATAATTTTTAAGAATTTGTTTTTTTTCTTGCTCACAGGGGTGTAAATCTCCTCAGGACCCCTTAGCAGCTTAAGGGTTAAGTTAATAATTAATTATAGGATTGATAAAGGATAGGGGAAAAAGGCTACCTTTCAAAGGATTCTATTAGTTTGTGAATGTGTATTAGATCATATGTGGTTCTGCTGAGTATATTAGGACAAAGAAAAGAATCCCAAATAAAAGATTCAATATCACCTATTTCTTTACTGTTTCTATACAGCGCTTCAACAGACTACTGAATCCAAATCAGCTCAGCTGTCTGGAATACTTGTATAATGTTCAGTTAATGGTTATGAATAAGCAATGTGGAGATTAAGCAATATAAATTAGCATACTATTTGCACTGTACAAAACATTTATTACAATTATGTAGTAAGCAACTTGTGAAAGTGCAGTGCCAAAAAATACAGCCAATCATTATACTCAAATTATCAATACAGGTGATTATAAAATTGATCACAATGTGTGCAGAGGCATCATACCATATCTGTTAATAACTGCTGCAAACACAGCAAGAACTGTCTTTTAGCACAATGCAATACTGTAGTAGGAACAATATAATTTTTGCAGGAAAACATGACAAGCTATAAAGGACAGGCATACCAATGTATAAATCACACAAGACCAAGCATCATAACTAAAACAAAATCATGACACACCTGAGCTATCCTCCAAATCCATTTCTGTGTCTGTTTCATTAGAACTAGACGATTCTGTTGAGGAATTTGTTTTTGGCTGAATCAATTGAGACAATTTGAAAAACACAGTAACTTATTGAAATAATAAGTAAATAATAAGAAATACTGTAGGAAATAATCACATCCTGTGATTCAGGATATGATTCAGTTTTTTAAGTACTTTCGTATATTAGTACATCTTCAGAAGGAGTGATTTTACAGGTCAAGTATTGGACATATATAGGCAGGAGAGAGTGGTCGAGTGAGGTGAGGTACAATGACAAATGAATGGGAATAAAAAAATCACGTGTTTATTTTTCGTGATTTACACACATATATATATATATACAGTATATATAAATATACTGTGCATATATATATATATATATATATATATATATATATATATATATATATATATATATATATATATATATATATATATATATATATATATATATATATGTGTGTGTGTGTACAGTGGGGCCTCGACTTACAATGGTAATCCGTTCCCAGAGACGAATCGTAAGTCGAAATATCATAAGTCGAAGCGATTTTTCCCATAAGAAATAAAGGGAATTGAATTAATCCATTCCCCACCCTCTAAAATATTAACTTACAAATAAATTTTATACTGGATACAATTTTTTTTCTAACTACAATACAGTGCATATGTTTATCTTACCTTTATGGAGGACTCATGATGCGAATGGAAGATAGTGAGGAGGGGGAGAAGGAGAGGTGTTAGTGTTTGGAAGGGGAGTCCCCATCCATTATAACATCAGGCAGTGATGACTTCTCTGGGGTACACTCTCTCCTACGTTTTGCCTGAATACCACTAGGACCTGGTTGTGGTTCACTGCTTGTTTGTCTCACTAAAAACCTTTCCAGTGATTTTTGTTTTTTCATATGTTTTAATTTTTGTCTGTAGTGAGGCATCACAGTGTCATTAAAAAGGCTAAGGTAATGGCCTACTGCACTGTGATTTAGTCGAGTCATTTCAGCAAAAGTTTGCAATTCTTCCCATGCTGCACACATTTTCTTAATTAATGGCTGTCTCCCCCTCCCCTGAAGAAATTTCCTCAACTGTCTCTTGTTGCTGCTCCTTGTGAAGTTCTTCGGTGGTCAGTTCTTCGCTGTGTTCCTCCACCAGCTCGCAACACACAACACTCACAACACTATGAATGCCACTTCTTTTTCTAAATTTCTCAAAACATCCCCTGCTCATTTTAAACTCTTTCGCATTTGCATCACTCGTTCCAGGGGTTTTCTTTAAAAGGTCTTCATGCAATTTCCTTGCTTTTTCACAAATGATGGCCTCTGAAACTCTATCACCCATTAACTCCGTGCTGTGTATCCAAATTAATAATAACTGTTCAACATCCTCAAGTGTTTGTGTTCTATGTTTCGTGATTATTGATATGCCTTTTGCCACTTTAGCACTCATAATGTCCTTTTTCTTAGCAAGTATGGAGGATATCGTTGACTGAGATTTGTTGTACTGCCTAGCTAGTTCAACAACCCGCACACCATCTTCATATTTACGAATGATCTCTTTTTTTTTTTTTTTTGAGATATATACAAGAGTTGTTACATTCTTGTACAGCCACTAGTACGCGTAGCGTTTCGGGCAGGTCCCTGGAATACGATCCCAGCCGCGAACAATCGTTTTTTCATCCAAGTACACATTTTACTGTTGCGTTAAACAGAGACTACAGTTAAGGATTTGCGCCCAGTAAATCCTCCCCGGCCAGGATACGAACCCATGACATAGCGCTCGCGGAACGCCAGGCGAGTGTCTTACCACTACACCACGGAGACTGTTTTGCTCTATGGTCATCGCTACATGGGTTTTCACATGATGAACCTTACCACTGACTTTCTTGAGACTCATGGTGTGATATATAATAATCAGTTTTATGTTCAAAAAGCAAAAAAAAAAAAAAAAAAAAATGAATTTCTTATAGGCGTGATCGTCACTAAGCGGGAAGCTCTAGTAAACTGAGGCAGGTCGGCCCGTATGACCGGGAACCACACACTTGGTCGACCTAAACGTGTACCAACATACACGTTTGCAAATTTACATTGTAACTCGAAATTATCGTAATTATCGAAATTATCGTAAGTAAGCCTGCCCACAAATGTTTAGTATTTAGTATTTTAGTATATTTAGTATTATAGTTTAGTATTTTTTGTGTAGTAGTTGTACATCACATAAGCATTGTAGATAGCCATTTGCACAAAATAGAAGGTCATTTTCTTCGTCCATTTGTGAGTTTTCCTTATGAAGTGATAATATTTGATCATTTAGTCAAAGTGATCAACACCTTTCATGTTTGTATTGTAGTCACAGATTGCATTCGGCTTGTTGACAGTTACCAAACAGTCCCCCCCAAAATCGGATAAAAACCAGATTTTTGGCAATTATTTTAGTGGACGACGCAGCATTGCGTCATCACCGAGATTACCGACAGTAAACGGATGACGCAGCATTGTGTCATCCCCGGACAAAAGTGTTAAGAAGCACATCAACAAAAGGGAAAAGATGCAAATACATGCCACTAAGTGGCTCCCAGAACTGAAGGACAAGAGCTACGAAGAGAGATTAGAGGCATTAAATATGCCAAAACTAGAAAATAGAAGAAAGAGGCTATATGATCACTGTGTACAAAATAGTAATGGGAATCGATAAAACTGATAGGGAAAAATTCCTGAGACAAGGAACTTCAAGAACAATAGGTCATAGATTTAAACTCAGCAAAGCTGCCAAAGAAATGTAAGAAACTTCACTTTCACAAACAGAGTGGTGGATGGAACAAGTTAGGTGAGAAGGTGGTGGAGGACAAAACCATCAGTAGTTTCAAAACGTTATATGGCAGAGTGCTGGGAAGATAGGACACCACAAGCATAGCTCTCATCCTGTAACTACACTTAATTAATTACACTTACGTAGTTATATAATTTGTAATTTGTGTGTGTGGTCTCTTTTTCTCATATTCCACATTCCATAACATTTAATTCACATTAAGTTCCATCTGCCAAAGTCTTGATCCATACACTTATTTTATCAAGGCATCTTGATGGGGTATGACAATCACATAAGTTTCTTATCTTCACTAGTAGCTTAGCATCATAAGCATACATGTTTGTAAAATTCTGTATTCCTTCTGGTAGATCATTCATATATACGATGAACATTACTGGTACAAGACTTGTCAAAGAACAAGAACTGAACTCTGCAGTTCTCCACTATGTATTAACATTTCTCCAGTCTGATACATTGCCTCTGATTACTGCCCACATTTTTCTGTCTATTAAAAGAATTTTCATCCATTTCAGAAGCCTTCCTCTCACCCCTTCAGTGTGTTCAAGTTGTTAACTAGTTCTTACCCAATTGCTTGACTAATGTCTGCTTCTTGCTGCTCATTTCTGTTTTTGACTCCAGACATACTACTCTGATAATTTATTTCTCTATAACTTGTGCATATCTTTAACATATTTCCATTTTGTACTTTTCCAATTCTTTAATAACCTGTAATTACCTAAGTGTTATTACAGGATGAGAACTACACTCATGGTGACCCATCTTCCCAGCACTCTTTGTCATATAAAACTTTGAAACTACTAATGGTTTTGACCTCCAACATCTCACTTATTCTTCTCACTTATGCATATGCATGTACACTTGTATTTCAAAGATTTTAATATCTAATGTAATATAGTATAACAAAAACACCTGTATGATTTTACTATTCACATTCATAAATGATGTCCCATTCCCCTTACCTCCAAAGCTTGCCCTAACACGAGCCTGAAAGTATATTTTTCCACGGGTCATCTCAAGCCGCTCCTCGTGATACCCTCTTCTGACTGTTGAGTTAGATGTCAGAGCAACCAAGTCATCTAAGCTTAGGTCTTGTCCCACAATCATGTGGCGTTCCAATATATATCGTACCTGAAAACAAAAGTAGTACTGTATTTTATAGCCATATATACATTTTCTATGGTAGTATAGTGCTTTTTACAATACATGATGGCACTGGGACTAAGAGCTGTCAGTTAACCATGAATGTTGGAATCTGAAGAAATCTGGGAAAACCAGAATTGAATGTAATGAAACACCAATTTCTGGACGACTCCCAGTGGCTCCCTGAAGCTACTATACTGATATAATGCAATAGAAAATGTGCCAGGTTGGTAAAACTCATTAAAATGATACTTACATGGTAAGCAAAGTCACCCATAAAGAGTTTTTTGTAGGCTGATGGCATCTTGCGGTGAATCATTGCCCAAGCATCATTGCTTGGCACAAATAAGGTAAACTTTTCTTCGCGTGAGCCTAGGCGCTCATTCCAACCTTCTTGCTCACTCAAAGAGAAAGTTGAACTGTAAAAAAATGCATATAAATTTAAAAATTGTACTGAACTTTGATAACTTGAGGCGTACTTAGCATATGACACAATGCTCATTAATAATTGTCAGTGTGTCTAGTCATTGTGTGGCACACTGCAGTTTGATTAACTACAATTACTGTATTTTGAAATTAATAATGTATTCGGCTGAAGCTGTAAATGATATATTTAATAGAAAATTAAGTTTTCAATACCATGTTTATTGAACTTATAATCCCTAGGTATTAGTTGAACCAAAAAACCTGCATTGAATGTAATGAAATGCCATTATCTGGGTAAGACCCAGAGGCTCCCTGGAGCTATACCAGGCTGATGTGTATATGTTAGACCGTGGCAATAGTCAATCAATGGAATTATAAGCATACCGGGGACCACGAACCAAAACCTGGCCCCCCCTCAGAGAGGCACGAGTAGCAATGGCCTATAGACCCCCACCCCACATATAGTTGGAAGCAGTCAATGTCTGCCATCTACCAGGGCACCCTGAAATGTAGGAATCCAAAAATAAACTACAGCTGGTTAAAAATTGTAAACTAAAAGCCAAATGACCAGGCAGAACTCCCCAATCAGAAAACAAGCAAGCAAGCATGACGTCACCACATCCGTCGCACCGCTGTCTGCACAGCTCAAATCCCCCCCTCCCCATGAAGGGGTGGGGGGGGGGGGGGAAGGACCAGACCTCCCATGCCGGCTACCCAACCCTAGTTCAGAGTCTGAATATGAAAAACGCGAAAAAAATATAGACTGGAGGGAGGGAGGGAGGGAGGGAGGGAGGGATGCCGGGAGCTTCCGGGTCTCACCCAGAAAATGGCATTTCATTACATTAAACGCCGGTTTTCTGTGGCGAGCCCCTTCAGCTCCCCGTAGCTACCTAACCAAAGATAAAGGAAAAGGGGGACTTACCCAGAAGGCAGCTGCCACTCGTTCCTCAACTTGAAGTCGAGACAATTGGCTGCAACCTGCAACTCAAGGCTACACATGCCCGAGAAAGGTCCAGAACATTAATGAGGTACCGTGCGGCCAGGATCCTGTTCGACCTCCAAAAGCCCCATGCCCGAATGTCAGCCCAGGACATATTACCAAAAACGGCAGCCAAAGCCACGAACTTACTAATGTCGTGGGAACAGAATAAACTGCAGGCTGGCTGGATTGAATAATCATGCAGATGACCTGGGAGACCCGCATCCTGGAACAGGGAAGAAGGGAAACCGGGTCATCCCAAAGCGCGTTCCCTGCCACAGAGGCCGTGGAGTGCAAGTAACAGCGAAGAGCCGCAACCAGACACAAAACATGATGCACTCCCGGATGAACCAACCAAGCATCATGTACCCAAGGACCCCTCCGGAAAGCAGCAGTCTCATTCTTCAGCAGAAAAGGAGGAAACGGCTGCAAACGGACAAAACGACTACCAGGACTGAAAGAACAACAGACTGAAGGGAGTTCCCCAATTTCAGGGGCCAAGTACCCTTGACAACCCCAAAGTAAGGCCTCTACCCTGGTCATCCAGCCTCTAAAGAGCAAATTCCCAAACACACTAGAGAAGGGAACTCTTTCTGTGCAGGGGCAGGTGCTAGGGAGCACACAGAAAAGGCAGCTCTGAGCACACTGATTCCTATGAGCCAGTTCCACACAACACAAACTAAAAAAAAAAAAAAATGCTCGTGAAGCTAACTAAAATATGGATTAATATCAAGCAAATGGCCTCTGCAGGACAAAGTCCAAGGATGACCGGCACTTAGCTTAGAAGCAGAAGAACCAGAGTGGCTTGTTGACAACCCAGGAATCCTACAGTGGACATCCATCACCGACAGGACTGGCTTGGAGGACTGGGGAGGAGTTCTGGCCCCCTCCCCATTGGCAGAGGGTTAGTGCTCATGAGCTCGAACTAGTTTCGACAAATTTGATCATTTGCTTACATTGTTTGGGGAGTTCATGTGGAAGTTTTGAGGCTTAGTCTCTTTAAATCCAGTGGTCTGTTTTGGTTCACTGTCTTTCTGGATGCTTTCTTGGTGAGGTGGCAAAGTGTCACCCACTCTGTGCCTCTGAGGGTGGGGCCAGGTTCTGGCTGTGGACCCTGGTTGGCTCCACAGCTGATGTGGCCTGGTAGTTGGGAACCATCTCAGGGAGATAGCTTGAGGAAGCCACAAAGAGCTTCCCCAGAAACCATGTAAATTAAGAAAATATCTGAGCATTTTCATGTTTTCAACACATCAATACACTTATTATTTCACCATAAATTAAGTAGATATATATACATAAAACAGATTAAGAGAAGGGAAACAAGTTGTCTATGAGGTGTAACATGATTCCAAAAACAGAAGATCTGATATTAAATGGAAATGTAGAACATAAAAACATATTTTTAATGCATCTGCAATATTCATTTTTAACATCTTAAATACCATCATCACTAGAAATCAAGAAAATTTCTGTATAAACTTTTTATACATTTGTATATTTTACAACTCGTGATTTTTGTATGCTTCTTGCTATGATAATAAGCAAATTGTTATACAGTTGTAAATAATCAAAGGAAGTAAAGTAAATATGCTACAAAGACAAGAGCAATTAGTTACCTGAGCATAGGATCAGAGGCAAGCTTCTCGTATACCGTCTGAGAAGGAATGCCAAGAATACGGTCTATGATGTGAATAACACCATTCTTTGCAGCTATATTTGGTGTAGTAATGGTAGCATTAACACCAGCTCCCTCCAGAGAGACAACAGGAACCAGAGCATTTGGTTCGTTGACAGCAAAATAAAGCTTGCGACGATTACTCAGAGTTTCCGCCTGGAAGATCTGGTATTAGAGAAAGAAATGTTCCTCTCAGGCATGCAAAATTGCGCAAGCTAAAGCATTACCTTGATAGACTAGAGGCTAGGGAATTACCACACAGACAAAAGACACAAAATATTACAGTGTTACTGTCAACAGAGAGAGAAAATAAAAAAGAAGAGAGAAAATAAAGACAAATAAACAAGTCCAGACATAATTTATTAACACACTAAAGTACTGAAGTATAAATAATTACAGTTGCTCTAGTAAGGATAGTTTATTTGTACAAAAAATAACTATGAATGTAAAGTTTGAAAAATTTAAAGTAATTTGAAGTCCAAAGTTATTCAGTACAAAAAGTACAATATGTCTATAATATTTTAAACTTAATGTATAATGAAAAAAGCGTGAAAAATATTGTGAGACTATGATTGTGATGACTCGTGAGCAGGATCATACAATTAAAATGTGAACAACTGCAGTGAATTGTGTCAAGCTTACTTTTACAGTAATTTGATTTATTTATGTATACAATTAAAACTAATTTGTTTCAAAATTTGAATATTGTATAAGCAAAACATTAGAATTTCTGAGATTGTTGAATATCTGGCATTGAATTTTAAAACATTTAGCTGAATGTGCGTGTTCTCATACATGGGCGTAATTACCTAAGAGTAATTATCTAAGAGTAATTACCAAAGTGTAGTTACAGGAAGAGACCTATGCTCATGGTGTCCTGTCTTCCCAATACTCTGTCATATAACACTTTGAAACCACTCATAGTTTGGCATCCACTACCTACTCACTTAACTTCTTCCAACTATGTACCACTCTGGTCTCACAAAGGTTGTGAATAATTTCTTTAAGGCACCAGATCGAGGGTGCACAGAGTGCCATATGGCATTTTTAGGAATAGGGATCGATTCAAAACTCCCACGGGTATGTGGGGCTCACATCCTGTGCCTCAAGATTCCAGTAAACAGAAGCCATCTTGAAAAAAATTGTCAGCATCCATACTGGCTGTGAGAGCCTCAGTACTGAGAGAGCATCCATGGCTCGTGCATGCAGCAGGAGCTCACAGCACCACTTTGCAGCTAGTGGCCACAGCACAACTTAATAATGATGAATAAAATAGGTAACTAATTATTTTGCATTGATAGTGTCATTGATGATCCAGACTGCGATAAAGTTATCGCTGACTGCGATACTTTGTACAACGCTCAGATATGAGAGTGAATACATTGCTAGTTGTGATATTTACAGCATGAGGTAGAGACACTCAGCACCCAATCATTGTTTCCTGCATCTATGCATCATGAAACATCCTCATGTTCCTTTCCAAATTAATATAACTTTCTGGAAATGGATTTATATTCAGGATTTTGTGACAGGAATGTGGTACAGTAATACAGTAATAGAAGCTTTATAGCTGGTCATAGTGAGATGTGTAGAATATTGGAGACATTGTCTTGCATCATGCGACTGCTGGTGTTGTCTGTTCGTACCATGTGGCTCCATGCTGTGTTTTGATTTCATCACCATACCCACCAGAACTACTTATTACTCTGTTATGGTGTATATATAAATATTGATAGTGATACCCAACAGAAGGAAGAGTAATAATTGTTAATTAATTATAATTACTCTTAATTACTCATTGTAATTAATAATTATTACTCTTCCTTCTGCTGGGTCATGAAGGAAGCCGGTCTCGGGTGATAGGGGGATGTGACGATCACTGTCTGGAATCCGTAGGTGCGGGGCATGGACAAAATTGTCCGAGACAAAGTTTGGTAGACAAATATTTGGGCTCTATTTTGGTAAGATAATCCAAAGGTCCGGTTTAACGGGTTCCAGATAAATGAGCTCATGCAGTATATACATGGTGTATATCCCCATAGGGATATTACTTCCAGGAACGTGCATGCATTGGCCAATACATGTTGCTTTCATGGTGGGATGGCAAGTTGTCACTCACTATGAAGGGGGAAGGCAGCTTCTGACTGGTGCCCAGTACTGTACACCATACAGAACTTCTGTGACTGTTGTGACCTTTTAGTATGGAATAATCTTAGCAAGATAGCTTTAAAGTCATGGTTTTATCACCAGAATAGTGATAAAATGATCATAGAAATATCCAAGGTTAACATTGGATATATCTGGCACATACTGCAATGTTTGCAAACCTCGTGTTTGACTTCAGCAGATTGCTGCTTGCTGAGCTCACCAAACCAGTAAAAATATAGATAATTACATTACTGTATTTCCACTTCTCCCTATATTTTGCATCCAAATTAATAATTCTATAAGAAAAATATATTTTTTAATTTGTTAATTTTTTGTGCATTGGCTGACATGCAAGAACTGTACTGTATACTGATAGCAGCACTCTAGTGGTTAAGAAAACAATCATCTTATTCTAAACAAAATTCTACTTCAGTATTCCCTTTTTTATTAGTCCACCTGAGTCTCCTTTGAATAGACCCTCCTTCAACAAATATCTCTAAAACATAAAACAGTTACAAATTATCCAATAAGATCTCCAGCAAGTGGAAAAAAGGAAAACTGTATATGCCAAATGGCATATACAGAAATTTATCACAATTACAGTATCTGGATACTTAGGAGTACCAAAATTAAATTTATAATGATTATTGCATTATAAATTATAAATTTATAATGCAATAATCATCTGAGCCCACTTATTAGTGGGCTTAGATGATTATTAAAACCTTGACTCTAGTACTGATGATTCTTACCAGAATTTGGAGATAAGTTAGATTATCTCCTAGCAGGTTCTCAATTATTTGTGAAAATGTAATACACCTAACTAACCTGTAATCATATAATTATAAACTAATGTTATAATCTTGATAAAAATCAATGCCCCTTGCAATTTTTCCTAGTTCAAAACAGGTACAGGAAAAAGATGAAGTGCAAGAACCATGCAAAAAAAGATATTAGTTGTGCTAACAATGGCTGTTACATCGCAAATAAGCCATGCAAAGCAACATTACACATACATATCTATATATACACACTATATTAGTAAATAACATATCCATTATATAATGTATATAAAATACTATGTATAATTATATATTCCTACACCATACCAGCAGCAAATTGTAATTCTGAATGACATACAGGTTCCATTGGAATGCCTTAGTCCTAAGTTCAGTGGTCTGCAATAACTTAACCCAATAATTAATTTGCTAAATTGAGGCTTTAAATGGCAGGCCTATTGTGCTTCTTCTCTTATGTACTTACTATAAACCTGAATAATAGATAAAAACTTCCATCACTGATATTCTCAGTGAGTCAAGACAATAAAACAATTAACTAAAATGAAAAGAACCTCATTTTTTATCCATTTGCCATGATGCATTTGACCAAAGTTTAAATAAATTCCCACTACAAAGGACATGTGTATTCACAAATGGTATATTTCTTAACCAAACTATGAATTTTACATTAATGGACTATCAAAAGTAATTTACATGCTAAAAAAAAGTCATATCATGAATATGATCATTTGTGAAACAAAGCACTAATTGAATAATGTTAGGATTAAAAATATGATCTCTATAATAAAAGAGTTGATCTCTCAGTCATTTATGGTATCTATTTTTCACTCTATACTCTTACAGCAGGAAAAAAGTGCTACTTGCACTTTTCCTGCCATAAGAGCATGGAATGATCCTCTACTGGAAGTGCAAGAACAAGCACCAAATGACTAATTATTGTTAACATTAAATTGCATTCAAATTAACAGAATATTGAGTAACTTGTGTTGTAGCATGTCCAAGATGCAGTTTATTTTTCATAGTTAGTTTGCCTTCTTCAACTGTGTGATGAGACAGGTAATGGCTAGTAATAAGAGGAGGCCCAAAACAAGTGCAAATAATTCATATCAAATCAAGAAGTATGTGTCTGTGAACTGAAGATTTCAGTGTGATATACTATACAGACACTACACACACAGAAATCACAATAGCGTGATGCATCAAATGAAAAGATCCACAAGGGCTGTGATGAGGGTTCAAACCTAGGTCTGAGAGGATCCCAGACGCGCCTTATTTGACTGTGCCACGTCATGGTAAAAGAATTGCAACCGGGAGTGCTACTGCCTTCACACGGATCCTGCAGTCTCTCCGAGACACAAACCAGGGTTTTACACAATTCCCCCCATGCACCCGGGCTCAGTCAACAAGCTGTTCTACCTCTTTACCCTTACTACTTTACACACACAAATCCTTGATTTCTGTGTGCAATGAAGTAAGGGTGAAGTGGTAGAACAGCTTGTTGACTGAGCCCGGGTGCATGGGGGGAATTGTGTAAAACCCTGGTTTGTGTCTCGGCGAGACTGCAGGATTTATGTGAGAACAGTAGCACTCCTGGTTACAATTCTTCTAAATATATCAAAAAAAGATTAAAAAACTGTTGGCATTCTTTCTAAGATCAGATATTATGTACCTCGTCCTGCCCTGGTGACACTCTTATTACTCTCTCACCTATCCTTATCTCAACTATGGTATTTGTGCTTGGGGTTCTACTACCCAAAATCATTTACATCCTCTAATTACTCAACACAAAGCTGCTATTAGGACAATATCTAACTCTGGCCCCAGACATCGCTCGGTACCCTTACTCAAATGTCTGATTATGTTTAGATATTAAGTCACTGCACATCCTCTCATGTGTATTTTATATACAGTATATAAAATGCTGAACTGTAAGGTCAATCCTGACCTTAAAAGCTTCCTATAAGGTTGTAACAAATCCCATGAGCACCACACCAGAAACAAATACCTATTTGATATTCCAAGATTATGACTTAATCAAACTAGAAATGCTTTACAAATCAAGGGACCCAGAATGTGGAGTGACCTTCCCAATCATCTTAAAGACTGTACCTCTCCCAACCAATTTAAGATAAAAACTAAGCACTACCTAATTAACTCCATGTAACCTACCTCACCCTTAAAATGTCAACCTATGTCTACTATTTTAAACAATACTGTTTGTTGACCAAATTGTATATTTGCTATTTTTTCTGCCATGTTCCCCCCGTTTTTTCTATTTTTTTATTTTCTCAACACAATTTATACTTTAATCTCAATTAGTATTAAATTTTAGTCTTAGTGTTTTTCCTGCCCGAAACGCTTTGCGTAATAGTGGCTTTAGGAATTGTATGTACTAGCTCTATCTATAAATCCATCAATGTTTTGTATCTCACCTTGTATGTATGTATGTACTTTACCTGAATAAATATTTGATTTGATTTTGATTTGATTTGATTTTTCTTTTACCATGTCGTGGCACAGTCGATTAAGGTACATCTGGGATCCTCTCGGATGTAGGTTTGAACCCTCATCACGGCCCTTGTGGATTTGTTCATACTATACTGAATATGAAATTGGGATAATATTGTCATACAAGTATATTGAAAATATAAAGAAGTTACCATAATTTTATTACACAGATGAAAGCTTCAGCAAGGATTGAGGAATTAAATATTTGTTAGTTTAAAATCAGCTAACATATCAGGTCACTTTATTAAATGTATCAAAGTATAGAGTTTGTTGCTAATAAATTTGGAACCTTAATGAGGTCATGTTTCAGGCCAGGACACCAAAAATGTGTTTGCCAAAACTCGGTGCAAAGCACATAAGGGTAAAAAACAAAGCTGCAACCCACTTAACCCATATACAGTACTGGCACCCATTAAATATGACAAACCCATGGTGTGCATAAAATAATTATTCCCCCCCACCATTTTTTTCTTTCTAATGATCATAGGAAACTACAAAAACAAATACTGAATATGACTTAGTTTGTCTGTGATGGAGTGAGGAAGTTTCACAATTCACAGTCGCCGAGTGAGTAGTTGCCCAGGGACCCTTGGCCTGGTGGCAGCCATTGTAATTATCTAAATGTAGTTACAGGATGAGAGCTATGCTCGTAGTGTCCTGTCTTCCCAGCACTCTGTCATATAATGCTTTGAAACTACTGATGGTTTTGGCCTCCACTACCTTCTCACCTAACTTGTTCCAACAGTCAACTATTCTGCAAAAGTGAACATTCTGATGTGCAGGAGTTGCCACGAATATATTTTCTAGGGAAAGCCTCTTGAGGTTCCCTGAAGCTATTACTGTACAATGATTCAGTGCCATACTACTAGGTGCCATCACTTGTGGCATTCTTATTGGCCTACCAGAAACCATGAGCCAGAACCTAGCTCTGTCAGAGCGGCAAAGGGAGTGGTGGCACTATGAAAATCTTACATTTAATGTTCTTCATGTCTGCCACCACCAACAAAAGCACCCAGAAAGACAGCGAAACAAAACAGACTAATGCATGTTTAGAACAAGACCGCAGCCTCAAAACTGCCAAAAGAACTCCCCCAAACAATATAAACAAACTATAACAAATTTGTGAAACTAGCGCACACTAGAATGCACCACCTCTCCCACTTTGTTTGGGGGAATGGATGGAAGCAGGCCAGGCCAGCTGGCCACCTTCACCAAGAGTTCTTATGATGAGTGCCGGGTCGCCTGTTCTAGTCGCTCTGGCTCCAGTCTCCCATTTTATCTAAGTGGTGTTTGCCTTTTAGGCAGGGTTGCCACGTTGAACTATAAGTCGCCCTGCTGGGTTATAAGTCGCCCTGCTGGGCTATAAGTCACCCTGCTGGGCTATAAGGAGCCCACTTGCTAGGCAACTTTCGTTTTATATTTGTGACGTTAGACTTTTTGTTTTCCGTTATGGCAACCTGGCTTTGAAGCTGTTATATGTATTTGTGTAGCATGAGCCAGATGTTTAGTGTGTTTGGAGCTGCATATCTTGAGGTTATGGCACCCATTAAATATGACAAACCCATGGTGTGCATAAAATAATTATTCCCCCCCTCCCAATTTTGTCTTTCTAATGATCATAGGAAACTACAAAAATAAATACTGAATATGACTTAGTTTTTCTGTGATGGAGTGAGGAAGTTTCACAATTCACAGTCACCGAGTGAGTAGTTGCCCAGGGACCCTTGGCCTGGTGGCAGCCATTGTAATTATCTAAGTGTAGTTATCTTTACGGACGACTTAGCATTGAGTCGTCGCCGAGTGAAAGTGTTAAGATGATTTCGGGGCTTAGTGTCCTCATGGCTTGGTCCTCGACCAGGCCTCCACCCCCAGGAAGCAGCCCATAGCAGCTGACTAACTCCCAGGTACCTATTTATTGCTAGGTAACAGGGGCATCAGGGTGAATGCAAAGGAAATGTGTGAAGCACCAAACAAACAGTTCCAAAGTGTGTTTGTATAAAATGATATTTTCAGAGAACCAGACACAATTCAAATTTAAGAAAACATAGTATATAGAGGTGTCTCGAGACAAAGTGTAAAAATGCTCAAGAAGCTAGGTAGAAATAAAGCAGATGACCAAGATGGAATTTCACCTTGAGTGCTGAGAGAATGCCCATCTCTGAGCATTATCAATTGATAATGCTCATGAGAATTGATCTGAGAAATATAAATTGAAATATCACTTCAATTGATATTTCAGTCATCTTTGAGTACAGGAGTCTTGGCAGATACAGTATAGGTAAAAAGACAAACATAGTTCCAACGTACAAAAATGGTAGCAGGGAAGACCCCTCTTAATTACAGACCTGTATTGTTGACAAGCATGGTAGTCAAAACACAAAGAGTACTGGGAAGACGGGACACCACAAGCGTAGCTCTCATCCTGTAACTACACTTAGATAATTACTAGAAAAATAATTAGAACCAAATGGGCAGAACACCTGGAGAGAAATGATGTAATAACAGACTATGGTTTTCAAACATGAAAATCCTGTTAACAAATCTACTTAGTTTATATTATAGAGCTACAGAGATTTTAAATTATGCAAAAAGGTTTTAAAGAATTCTGATAAAGAAAGAGATCTAGGGGTGTTTCTGGATAGAAAACTGTCACCTGGGTACCACATGAAGAACACTGTGGGAGGAGCCTATGTTACGCTTTCCAACTTCAGAATACTTTTTAAATACATGGATGGCGTAATACTAAAAAGTTGTTCACAACCTTTGTAGGACCAAAGTTGGAATATGCCGCAATTGTATGGTGCCCATACCTCAAGAAGCACATCAGTAAACTGGAAAAGTACAAAGACATGCAATCAAATGGCTTCTGGAATTGAAAAACAAGACCCAAAAAGAGAGAGGCTAAAAGTCATAAACATACCAAAGCTAGAAGGTAAAAGAAAAAAGGTGACATGATCACTATGTACAAAATACAGTGGTAGCAGAAATCAACAAAACTGACAAAGAATTCATGAAAACTGTAACTTCAAGAACAAGAGGTCATATATTCAAACTAAGAAAACAAAGGTGCCCCAAAAATATTAGAACATTCACTTTTGCAAACAGAGTGGTAAACTGTTGAAACAAGTTAAGTGAGAGGTTGGTGGAGGCCAAACCATCAGTAGTTTCAAAGCATTATTTGACAAAGAATACTGGGAAGACAGGACACCATGAGTGTAGCTCTCATCCTGAAACTACAGTACACTTTGGTATTGACACAGATATAATAGTTAGAGAACGCTGTTTAAAGACCATTAATACAAATTAAAAACATTAGTTAGGCTAACACTGATTCCTGTGGATCTCTGGTTACACAAGTTAAAACATGGCCTCTAATTTTAACAAATATTTGTTTTTAATTACCTGTAGGTGTGTGCATGTGTATGTATATGAACGTGCAAACATATGCATAGATGTTTGCATAGAGAATCTAAAAACACATAGGAATACTAATATAATTTAAGGATAAAACACCTTACCTCACGGGTGCTCCTATCAACAATCTCATCTGTAGTAAGGCGGCGCTTTACCACATGAAGCTTAAGTAGTTTTCCCAGCCTATCTTGGTTAGCAATCACCTAGTAAAATTATTAGAAATGTATAATTAAATGATTTATTTATACACATTAGAGAAGTCCCAGTAATTCAGGTATCAGAGTAATGGTGGCCCAGATGCAAAGAACAAAAATGTGGTTCAATATGGTCACTAGTCACTGACCAATAAGGTCACTAGTCACTCATTGCAATCTACAATGCAGGTATATGTAATCTATTACAGGAACTTGGAAAAGACTTTGAGAACCAAATAATATTGACAACTTTTAGTTTAATATAATACTGAATTAAAAATGTACTCTTTATGTGATTGCGGCATTTATTTGAGGTGCCCAAATGAAGCAGAATGCAGCAATGAAAGTAATGCAATTACCCTTTCTAGTTTGCCCCTCAATAGCTCCAGGGAGCTTAAATGCTGGTACCACTAACTCTTCAGTGTACACCAGGCCCCCGAGATTTACAAAAATTCATTGAGAACCAGGATCAGAATCGGGTTCACCAATACTGAGATGGAAGATTGTTGGATTAGAGATTGACCCCAAATCAAATGATGAATGTAATTAAATTTTCCTTTTTAGTGGTCCACTCAGTAGCTTCCTGAGCTAACTGCACTTAATAATAATAATAATAACAACAACAATAATAATAATAATAATAACAACAACAACAATAATAATAATAATAATAATAATAATAATATTTATTCGGGTAAAAGTACATAATGTACCTTCAAAATGAGTTACAAACAGAATGTTGGATTTCTAAATAGAGCTAGTACATACTATGCCTGAAGCCACTAATACATACAGCGTTTTGGGCAAATGGGCTGTCAAACTTCACAAAAGCACACCAGGCTATTTTGTGAAATGTCCAACTCCCACCAAATGGCCTCCCAGGCCACCCAGGGGCCCACAAAAGCCAGGTAACTCATTCACATGTCACTCAAATTGAAATCCCCAACTCCCATGGAAAAGAAGGGAACAGGATGGATACAAGGAGGTGAGTGGTCAACCAAGTGAACCGGCACACATGGTACCACATGGCAGGTGCCTCTCATTTGTGCTCTTCCATTCTAAACTATAAAGAGCCAACATCAACCTTCAGAGAATGAAGAATACAACCTAAGGCAGCTAAGTACATGCACCCCAGGAACCCTAACTTGACTAGGAGCCTGCACACCCAGAGCCATCAATTGCCCATGATGCAGAAGCAGGAAATAAGCCACAACGCAACAATACTTGACTCATCAGCTGAAAGGCTACCCCTATTGCTGCGAGCAACCAGAACACACGTACCTCATAAAACAAAAAGGGAGAGATAGGAGAAAAGATAAAAAAGAAAAGAGACCACAAAAGTAACCCCAGACCACCCCCAGATAACACCATTTGGTGACAAGCTAAGTGGGCCTTATAGACGTCTATCACTGTGTTCTTCAAGAGGGGGCAAAAAGTTGAGGGGCCAGCCTCCACTGCCAAGGAAGCAGCCTCAGGAACAGATGCCAGGGCATCTAAGCCCCACACAACTGGTCCATGCAGGTGATTTTTACTGCCCAGTTGTAATTACCTAGTTATGCTTAGGTAATTGCAAATGGCCAATAAAAATCTCCTGCACAGTCCAAATGCACAGGACAAAACCCAGGTGACTCAAAGTCACTCACCCTAACATATTAACAATGAACTAGGTGGATTAGTGCTATGTGGCTCATGGAAGTTACTGAGTGAGCCTTGCTGAGAAAACAACTTACAGTATCTAATAAATACAAAATTTGAAAAGGTAAATATTTTAAATTTCCTTTATTAAACAGGGCAACAACAAACCTGATTAAGGCGTTCTTTGTTGACCATCTTAAAGGCTTCATTGGATGGAGCAAAAAGTGTGAGGTCCTGCTCCACAACAAGCTGATTGGTCATATCTCCATAGTGCTCCCGAATAAGTGTGTAGAACGTGCTAAGTTGCCCTCTCTTTTCCTAGAGGAAGAATACATATTTATATTACAGCAGTACAGGGTATACTGTTAAAAAATTAACAATGACACTGATTTATATCTAACATTTAAAGACATATATATAAAACTGTCTTGCGTTATAAATAAAACATTTACAAAATGATACTGTACTGTGCTCTAGTATCGTATATTGGGATAGGGTCCTGGTAGTAGAACCAGGCTCGTTTTCGACGTACAATCGAGAATTCCGGGTTCGAATCCCGGGCGAGACAGAAATGGTTGGGCACATTTCCTTTCACCTAATGCTCTGTACACCTAGCAGTAAGTAGGTACATAGGAGTTAGTCAGCTTGTTGCGGGGTTGCATCTTGGGCCGGATCAGTAATTCGGCCTTGTGTCAAATGAGTAATAACTCGTTTGCTATTGTTAAAAGTTTAGTGTCTCCTCTATGGCTGCCCTAATCATTCAGACACTGGATGGTGATGTTGCCAAAAATGGTTCCTGCCAAACACATGATGAAACACCTCCAAGTTTTAACACCTCCAAGTTTTAACACCTCCTAACAAGTTGTAACAACCAATATAGCAAGTTGTAATAATGTTGTAATACATCATAAAAACATTATAACATTATTTAACAACTTTATTACAAGTTGTAACAAGCGGAAAATAGGGACAGTTATGTTGTGTGTGTTTTCAGAGTTACTGGAGGCTTGAGGAAGCAAATGAAAGTCCTGTGAATATGCATGACTATCTTAAATATTTTACATATCTAACTCATATATACTGTGTGTGTGTATATATATATACACACACAGTATATGAGTTAGATATGTAAAATATTTAAGATAGTCATGCATATTCACAGGACTTTCATTTGCTTCCTCAAGCCTCCAGTAATGTTTTGCATTCCCAAAACGCATATTCCCAGGTGTCAGACTAGAATAAAGTATAAAAATGTTTGTGTTACATCTGGACCTTTTGAAGTAATGTAACAACCTTCAGGAAAAAGTTATATGTATAAAATACTGCTAGCATTAAGCCTGCATTTTATAACATTAATAAAAAAGTCAGTACACCATAAGAATAGATCTCTTCCTGAAACTTAATTTAATTACTTATAATTAGGAAATTACACACACATATAAATATAAAGTAAAAAAATTTTGATGTGTATTTGCCAAGTATCACAGTACCATAAAAGAAAAAGAAAAACATAAAACATAATAGAGTACTGTACCTGAAGATATGAAATGATGCTAGATGCTACAACCATTAGTGGGCGATCAATAAGGTGGACAACACCATTCTTAACTGGAATGTTTTCTTTTGTTATTCTTGCCAGCACTGTGCCCTTGTTGTGTGAAATGTCACTAGCAATCGTATTACTTTTAACATAATCTGTGGACACATAGTAAATTACTTTCTTTCCTAGATATGATAATTATGCTGCAAATGAAAACAGTTCTTATTCATTGTTATGGTGGCATAAAATATCTACTGAGTAGCACTTGAATTTCAGTTACCAAAACAAAATTATATTTTAAGCTGTATCCATTAGCTATATCCATAATATTTTCTGCAAAAGCTTGCATATACAGTATGAAACCACTTAAAATCAATAATTAGCTTAGTCTACTGATGACATTATGGTCCACATTTATTATCACACTAAGTAATCTCAGAGGATAAATGAACAGAGAAAAAGTTCTTATGGGGTTGCCATACATTAGTCATTGCACACCAGTCTGAAGCCATATTGACAAGAGCTCAGTTTATTACGTCATCGTGATGGGCATGACAATCGTCTAGGTTTATTATCCTTCCTAATAAATGGAAGGTCCTAATAAATGTGGACCTTAGCATCATCAGCAAACATGTTCATATAAATCTGTGTTCCTTCTGGTAGATGGTTTATGTAGACAATGAACATTACTGGTGCTAGAACTGAGCCCTGTAATTACCTAATTGGAGTTACAGGATGAGAGCAACGCTCGTGAAGTCCTGTCTTTCCAGCACTCTTTTGTCATATAAGCTTTGAAACTACCGAAAGTTTTGCCCTCCACAATCTTCTCACTTAACTTATTCCAACCATCTACTGTTTGCAAAAGTTAATTTTCTTATATTTCTTTGGCAGTTTTGTTTAGTTATCTTAAATCTATAACCTCTTCAAGTTCTAGGTCCCAAGAATTCTTTACCAATTTTGTCAATTCCCATTACTATTTTGTATATAGTAATCAAATTGCTTCTATTTCTTCTGTCTTCTAGCTTTTATATTTAATGCCTTTAATCTCTCCTCATAGCTCTTCTTTTTCAGTTCCAGAAGCAGTTGGGTCATGCTACCACAAACTTGTTTATTTTTTAAAATGAACACCGTAGTTTATAAGACATTATTTTATGTTATTTCCTTGCCTAACTCCCAGACTATTGTGAATAAATGACCAAATTTAAGTTTTGAGTAAATTTTCCTTGCCTAACTGTAGTTCAGTTCACTGCGCAGTGTAACTGCAGGGTAAATCTTCATGTTTACTTGCAACAATACAGGTCTATAATTAGGATGGTCTTATCTGCTACCCTTTTTGAAGATTGTTGGCCACCAGCTGTCAGTGGATGCCTTGTTCTTTAATCCTGTTTCTTTGGTACCCTGTTCCATGGCTCTCATTTCTCAGGACTTCTGCAGTGACATGAAATCTAGCCAGCCTGCAGTCTACCCTTGAGCTCATGGTGTTACTACATATAATAATTTTAATTCATTGTGTCGGGGGACAGGAAGCCAGAGAGTGTATTCATACATATTTTGACTTTTATCGAGGTCCCCTCCCTACCCATCCAAAGCCGAATTACTGACCCCGCCAGGATGCAACCCAACAACAAGCTGACTAACTCCTTAGTACTTACTCACTGCAAGGTGGGCAGAAGCATTGAGTGAAAGGAAGTATCTACTCACTGCAAAGTGAACAGAAGCATTGGGTGAAAGGAAGTACCTACTCACTGCAAGGTGAACAGAAGCATTGGGTGAAAGGAAGTACCTACACACTACAAGGTGAACAGAGGCATTGTGTGAAAGGAAATGTGCCCAAGTATTTCAGTCCCGTCCGGGATTCAAACCCGGAATTCTCGATTGTGCGTCAAGAACGAACCCGACCGTACTACTGGGACCCCTTGGTATATGTGGCTTTGCAAAGTCATAAGTGATTTTGGCTGTGATCTTTTCCAACATGTCCTGGGCTGATATTCAGGCTCGAGGATTTGGGCATCCTAACAGGATTCTTGTAGCCCAGTATTTAGGTAATGTCCCTGGTCGTAGTCAGTCTTGTGTTGCATTGGGCCTTGTCTCCTGGCCTAAGTTCTCTTCTCAATCCTAGTGCCTGCTGTCTCTCCTCTTTCTTAGAATGTGTATGAATACACTCTGGCTTCCTGTCTCCTGACACAATGAATAATAAACCGTTTGAAGAATATTTCTCATTTGAAATTATCTTTTTCCAGACTGAATGCCACATATACTTCCCACATAAAATTTATTTGTAATAAAAAAAAATTTAGATTACTGATACCTTGTAAAAAAAAACACATTAATTAATATATCTCAGAAAAATAATACTGTAAGTGCAACAAGAATGAGGTATAAATAAAATGGAAATCAAAATACTCACATGTTGTTTCCTGATTATCAGAATTACTGACATTTTCCACAGAGATAAACACCTTGAGGTTGTCTGTAAATGCCAAGCTCTCGTACTGGATGTTTGAGTTTTCCACAGTGCGGGTGAAAAGAACATGTCCCGGAACAACATGGCCATGGATGACTTGCTTATCAATTAGTTCCTTGTCCGTGCGCATTACAAACTGCAGCAATACATGAGGACAATGTAAGAACATTGAGAGTTTTATGTGTTAAGTGATGAGCATTCTGAGCCATATATGTTATTCAAAACATTATTATAAAGCTGGAGGAGTGTGGGATGGATACAAAATTTTTATATTTTCTGACAAGAAAAATTTTTGACTAAAAATTTCTTAACATGAAAAATGTAGAGCAAAATAATATAGCATGAAGATTTATTTCACTCTGAAAGCACACAATACAAATATTAGGGGCATCTTGTACAAAAAATGTTTATTGTCATAAAACAAGTTTCTGGAAATAGGCAATAATAAGGGGAATTTCATATTTCAAGAAATCTTATAATGAGAGATAAATTTCAACTGCAAATTGTGTGTGTGTTATATTAGTATTACATATATATATATATATATATATATATATATATATATATATATATATATATATATATATATATATATATATATATATATACACAGTATATATATGTTGTACTGTACCTAGTAGCCAGAACGTCGTACTCGGCATACTATGCAAGGCCCGATTTGCCTATTAAGCCAAGTTTTCCTGAATTTATATATTTTTCAATTTATTTTTCTTATGAAATGATAAATCTGTCCATTTCATTATGTATAAGTTAATTTGTTTAAATTTGAGTTAAAACTAACGTAGATATATGACCGAACCTAATCAACCCTACCTAACTTAACCTAACCTATCTAAACCTAACCTAAACTAACACAACTAAGTCAATAACTTATGTTTCTAATATAATATAATAATAATAATTCAAATAAAGTAATTGGAAACAATTTATTGAAAATAAAGAAAATCACTCGGCCTATTAGGGAAATTGGGCCTTGCATAGTAGCCGAGAAGTGCGTTCTGGCTACTATGTACGACATTATATATATATATATATATATATATATATATATATATATATATATATATATATATATATATATATATATATATATATATATATATATATATATATATATATATATATATATATTATTAAATATGACCGAAAAAGTAAGATTAATAATTCTAACACGAATTTTCTCAATCTTTCGTACATTACGCTTCACTGTTGGAGGTAAATCAAAAATCACTTCTCCAAAATTCATTTTTATTTCTAGTCTGACGCGACACGGGCGCGTTTCGTAAAACTTATTACATTTTCAAAGACTTCACAAATACACAACTGATTAGAACTTACGTCTCTCTGATATTATATCTACATTTGAGTGAGGTGGGAAGGGTGATGTGGCATTAACACAAGACAGAACAAGAGGGGATATTAATAGGGTATTAAAAGTATCAACACAAGACAGAACAGAAACAATGGGTATTGAATAGAAGTGTTTGTAGAAAGCCTATTGGTCCATATTTCTTGATGCTTCTATATTGGAGCGGAGTCTTGAGGTGGGTAGAATATAGTTGTATCCACAACTATATTCTACCCACCTCAAGACTCCGCTCCAATATAGAAGCATCAAGAAATATGGACCAATAGGCTTTCTACAAACACTTCTATTCAATACCCATTGTTTCTGTTCTGTCTTGTGTTGATACTTTTAATACCCTATTAATATCCCCTCCTGTTCTGTCTTGTGTTAATGCCACATCACCCTTCCCACCTCACTCAAATGTAGATATAATATCAGAGAGACGTAAGTTCTAATCAGTTGTGTATTTGTGAAGTCTTTGAAAATGTAATAAGTTTTACGAAACGCGCCCGTGTCGCGTCAGACTAGAAATAAAAATGAATTTTGGAGAAGTGATTTTTGATTTACCTCCAACAGTGAAGCGTAATGTACGAAAGATTGAGAAAATTCGTGTTAGAATTATTAATCTTACTTTTTCGGTCATATTTAATAATATATGTCTACAGGAAAGACTGCTACCAAAATATACTAATATATATATATATATATATATATATATATATATATATATATATATATATATATATATATATATATATATATATATATATATATATATATTTTCACAAACACACACACATATTTAATACTGTACACAGTTCCTGTTAAGGCCACTAGAGAAGCAGGCCCTCAGATAAATATATACAGTATATGTGTACAGGATTGTATTTTACTGGAAGGAAATAATTTAATTATTTAATTTCTATTTTCATTACCTGACCCAACACACATACACACAGGGTATATATATATATACACACACACACAGGGTATATATATATATATACACACACACACAGGGTATATATATATATACACACACACACAGGGTATATATATATATATATATATATATATATACACACACACATTATATATATATATATATATATATATATATATATATATATATATATATATATATATATATATATATATATATATAATATAACGTCGTACCTAGTAGCCAGAACGCACTTCTCAGCCTACTATGCAAGGCCCGATTTGCCTAATAAGCCAAGTTTTCATGAATTAATGTTTTCTCGACTACCTAACCTACCTAACCTAACCTAACCTAACTTTTTCGGCTACCTAACCTAACCTAACCTATAAAGATAGGTTAGGTTAGGTTAGGTAGGGTTGGTTAGGTTAGGTCATATATCTATGTTAATTTTAACTCCAATAAAAAAAAATTGACCTCATACATAATGAAATGGGTAGCTTTATCATTTCATAAGAAAAAAATTAGAGAAAATATATTAATTCATGAAAACTTGGCTTATTAATCAAATCGGGCCTTGCATAGTAGGCCGAGAAGTGCGTTCTGGCTACTAGGTACGACATATATATATATATATATATATATATATATATATATATATATATATATATATATAATCCACAGAGAAATGGCAAAGAGAGATGAACGTTTTCGGCCAATCTAGAGAGCGGCCAAAACGTTCATCTCTCTTTCCCATTTCTCTGTGGATTTTCCGTATACAAATGATCAGTATTTAGTGATCGTCAATTGCATATATATATATGTATATATATATATATATATATATATATATATATATATATATATATATATATATATATATATATATATATATATATATATATATATATATATATATATATATTTATATTTATATTTATATTTATATATATATATATATATATATATATATATATATATATATATATATATATATATATATATATATATATATTTATAAAATTTCAATTCAATATAATACACTAATAATCTTATTATGATTCCAGCATTCAACAATGAAAACTCAAGCAGCATGCTTAGTTACTTCACATTTTTAAAATGTCTTTTATTTGGCCTAAGTAACATAATAAACTGTCCTATAAGCTTCAGCATATATCCTAGAGTTTTGCACTGCAATGACATGGAAAATGCCTTAGACTTTAACGTGAAGTTGAAGAAAGTCTGTTCATTTATTTAATGAAAAGTTGGTGGAATAAAATATGATTGTAAAGTCTATGACAACAGTCACATCATACTATCTACTATCAACATAACCATGCTTATATGGAGAGATGAGAGTGCATGCGAAACCAAAAAGTTTAATCTTTCATAAGTAGGCAAAAAATAAATAGGTAGGCTTTCATAAGTAGGCAGTTGGCACATCCTTTCTCATACTCACCAAAAGTTTCAAGTTGGAAGCAGTGGGTCGAGAGGAAAAAACAAAGAGAAAATAAGATAAATAAGATGCTCAATACCCAATTCGATTCAAAATGTAGTTAAGATTTTTTTTTCACTACCTTTTGATGAGGGAGCGTGTTATAGCATAGCCTATGAATGTATTCAGTCCTTTTGATATGACATTTTTTACATTACTATTCTTGCCCCCCCCCCCAAAAAAAAAAAAATATATATATAAATATATATATATATATATATATATATATATATATATATATATATATATATATATATATATATATATATATATATATATATATATATATATATATGTCGTACCTAGTAGCCAGAATGCACTTCTTGGCCTACTATGCAAGGCCCAATTTGCCTAATAGGCCGAGTGATTTTCTTTATTTTCAACAAATTGGTTTATTTGAATTATAATTATTATATTATATAGAGAACATAAGTTATTGACTTAGTTATGTTAGTTTACATTTGGTTAAGTTAGGTTAGGTTAGGTAGGTTAGGTTAGATTTGGTCATATATCTACGTTAGTTGTAGCTCAATTTAAAAAAAAAATAACTCATACATAATGAAATGGCTAACTTTATCATTTCATAAGAAAATAATTAAAAAATATATATAAATTCAGGAAAACTTGGCTTATTAGGCAAATTGGGCCTTGCATAGTAGGCCGAGTACTGCGTTCTGGCTACTAGGTACAACATATATGTGTGTGTGTGTGTGTGTGTGTGTGTGTACTCACCTAGTTGTGTTTGCGGGGGTTGAGCTCTGGCTCTTTGGTCCCGCCTGTGTGTGTGTAATTACCTAAGTGTAATTACCTAAGTGTAATTACAGGATGAGAGCTACGCTCGTGGTGTCCCGTCTTCCCAGCACTCTTTGTCATATAACGCTTTGAAACTACTGACGGTCTTGGCCTCCACCACCTTCTCACTTAACTTGTTCCAACCGTCTACCACTCTATTTGCGAAGGTGAATTTTCTTATATTTCTTCGGCATCTGTGTTTAGCTAGTTTAAATCTATGACCTCTTGTTCTTGAAATTCCAGGTCTCAGGAAGTCTTCCCTGTCGATTTTATCAATTCCTGTTACTATTTTGTATGTAGTGATCATATCACCTCTTTTTCTTCTGTCTTCTAGTTTTGGCATATTTAATGCTTCTAACCTCTCCTCGTAGCTCTTGCCCTTCAGTTCTGGGAGCCACTTAGTAGCATGTCTTTGCACCTTTTCCAGTTTGTTGATGTGCTTCTTAAGATGTGGGCACCACACAACAGCTGCATATTCTAGCTTTGGCCTAACAAAAGTCATGAACAATTTCTTTAGAATATCGCCATCCATGTATTTAA